CCCATGGGCGGGCCGCCGCCCCCGCCCCCGCCGCCGGAAGGGGCTCCGCGGTGTTGGTTGTTCCCCCCCCCGCCGCCACCTGACGGTGCACGAGTACGAAAGGAATGCGGACGTCGTCATGATGAAGAAGTTCGTGCTCGTGATGATAGGTCAACCCTAACTCCTCGGGCAACCAACAACACTGGTACGCATGGATACAGGTCGCTCGGTTTGTTGCAAGTTTCTTTGTTGGTTGTTTTTTACCCACCATCGTGCGATACGCGTCGTATGGCAATCTCCGACACCAAACAACATGCCTCGTTTTTTTCCACCCATCAAATGCGCGTTGTATTTAGCGATTTCCGAGCACCAACCAGCATGCCACTTTCATCCCACCGCGCATCTACCACCATGAACGAGTGAGCCATGTTTCGATCGAAGCAAACAAGGAAAAACACTCGTCCGGTGGTGACCGGAGTCGCTATGCTGTCCTTCCAACATGACCACGGTTTTTGGGTCAAAAGTCGTTACAACACGATACATGTATCACAGTGTGGGGCCCTCTATAGTGCCGGTGTTTTCGGCTCGCACACACTGGAATACCAAGTCGTTCTGTACTTTGAATTTGAATAGCGCCGGTGCCCGGTATAGTGCCGGTCAAATCTCGGGGCACACCCCGCCCCCCCTCCACTGCTGTACCTTTTTTTTCGCATCGAATCGGAAAAGATACAACACATCACGACGATGGCGCCACAGGCTGCCACCACATGGTGTCGGCAGGAGGCATTGTGTCGGATGGATATACCTGCGGCCTCACGGTCCTCCCTGACGAAGATCAGGCGCCCCTTAAGCTCGGTGTCGAGGAGGGTGTTGATGGCCTCCTGCGCCTCCGCCGGGGTGCGGTACTCCACGATGCCGCAGCCTTTGGACCGGCCGGACGCGTCTCTCATCACGTCCGCTCGGACGACCTGACGTAGAAAAGAGTGTTTACACACCGCCGCACACAGCGGTCGGGGGAAGGAGTGACACAGGGATCGACATGGGTACCCGTCTGTGTGTTGCGCGTATACGTACAGAAGCAGCCAAGAGGAAAAAAAACACAGGCATCGTCGACATGCATGGGACACGGATGCCGTCATGTGTGTGTTAGAGCCAGTCTACACAACCTGCCGGACGTGTATGCAAGTGTTCGACGCATCGGCCGGGGTCACACAGGTTGAATTTAGTTTTATACTTTACTCAAGCCTCGTCTTTCCTCGTGCGTGTTTTTTCGAGGTACTGTAAGGGTTCAGCCGTCTATATTCTCCGCGACGACCGTCAACGCGACATGCCCACAGTCACGAGATAACTCAGTTTCCGCCGCATTTCAAGAGAAATCGACAGTCTCTCGAACGGGTAGCCTTGTTTGTATCATATGCATATTTTTCCTAAACAATGAAACCCACAGTCTACCACTCTACTTTTTACCACAGCAGTAGTGGAAGGATGTGTTGAAGTCTTCACACGCTACTTGTGGCGGGTGGCAGCAAGACCTGGCGTACCTCGCCGGCGGTCCTCATGTGGTCCTTGAGATCTTGCCACTCGGTCTCCCAGGAGAGGTTGCCCACGTACACGCGGGTGATGCCCGTCGTCATCACCCCGACCGGCGGCGCGGACATGCCGCCCACGACGGGCATCACGCCGCCCATGCCGTTCACGACGATGCCGTTGGCGTCCTGCGCATACTGTGCGGGTTGCTCCACGTATCCCATCTTTTTTCGTCGGCACACCCACGAGAAAGAAAAACAGCAGCAACAGGAAGAGGCGCATGTTTTCAGAAAAACACCCGTCGATAGAAGCTGCATTGATTGTCACTGTTGTAGACTAAGGATGATGGGAGGTACTGTGGGCAGGGAGATTGGAACGGCTTATTCATGTGAAGACTGCAACGACAGCCGCACAACCAAAGGAGGACCACATACCAGACCACGTTGCATGTTTTGCATGACGGGGAGGGCGGGGGGGCGAAGAGAACATGGAAAGTGCGGGAACATGAACGACGAAGACGTCGCGCCCGGCACTACGGTCGAAAAGTAAAAAAAGATGAGGAGAGATGTTGCGTGTCGACGGTGCCGCTGTCGTTCGGCGGGGACCCAAGGAGCCAACAACATTTGTTGAGCTGACGTTTTCCGCGCCATCAACAACCCACCCAACCCACCCAACCCGTCAGCTGTCTGGACGGAATTATGTGAGTCGAGCTTTAGGTTAAAGTACACTCCTTCCGATGTTGACAAGAGTATCACCCAAGCTTGAATCTTCTTTCCTTTCCACACGACCACACACATCAGAGGCAACTCACACATTGAGACACACCCAATATGGTGCAACAGGTCATTAAAGCAACTGCTGATTGACAAAAGCAGGGGGGCGGGGCCAGCAGTTAGGTGTGTGACTCGCGCTACATGTGTCCGGCCAGCTGTGCGACCAACACACTCTTGGTGCGCGATGAGGACTCAACATTTGTTGGAATTTTAGGACGTGACTCCTGGCGCTTTTTACTATACGGTGCGCTAATATTGGGGGTCGAGGAAGCAACCCAACTTGGAAGCCAGTAGAGCTTCCGCTGCATCCATGTCGTGGGGTGGAATCGACCGTGCTGCTATGATCATGTTGCTTATGCAAGGCAGGCTCAGCCCGTGTGCAGCGACAAAAACAAAAGCGCGCCGCACCTTGTCCGAAAACACCCACACATGCCTTGTAGCTGGATCTGTGGGGACGAATCCGCCAGCAGCTTGCCCATTGAAATGAAACGCAAAGAGGACATATTTCGGATTCAACTTCTGGAGCGTCCACGCTGTCCAAGATCTACACTACCTACAGGACACGTGGAGAGACCGAGCACGAGCACAACCACCTGGTGGATATCCTCCTCAGGGCCCAAAACTCTCCGCCTGGCAGAGGAGGCTACGTGCCGTGTACCCGACCTGCAGAGCGCCCCCTAAGCCGACCGCGACCCTCACGGCACGGGAAGACAGAAAGAAAGAAACGTAAGGTGGAAAACGGCCAACAGGCTCGACACACACAAAATTCAACCAAAAAAAAAACAGCCCCAACCAACCTCCTTTGTGTCTCCTCTCACCCCATTCTCCATGACGAAAGCTCTACGAACCGGTCCCGTGCAGACTGCTCTCCTTGCAAACTTAACAGCTCGCGTCTCCCTCCTTCTGCGGTCCTGTCTTTGTTGCCCTCGATTTGGGTGGTGGGAGTCTTCGCGCGAAACAAAACCGATGTGAGGGCACGGGCGGGAAAATCACACGGCGCGAGCGGGAAAAGCGAACCCCCTAGGGGTGGGAAAACACAATTTTTCGACAAGTGCAGGGGGGGGGGGGG